AAGATAACTTTTACCTAGACGTCTCGGAAGACAGACTCCTCTGGAGACTTCCTCCTAACTCGGGAGAATTACTACTGATTGGTATAAAAACTCGCACACTCGGTAGGTAACTCATATTTAACAATTATTCGCCTCAGGTTCGGTGAATATCGTCGAACAATCCCTGAGACGAAGTCCAAGGGACTATTCGACAATATTCACCGAACCCGAGGCGAATAATTGTTTAAGTAGAATTCCAGAGCTGAACAACAGAGAAATTTCTAAAATCATAACATTTTAGTAACATTTATTAACATTTTATTTTAACATTTTATATAAGCTGCGTGGAGCGGTTTATACAGCGTCATAGAAGGAACCGCCTGACCAATCAGATTGCTGGAAACTCTTTGCTCAGCTCTGAAATTATACTAAAGGGGATTATTAGGTCCCAATACATATTATGTCCTGTACTTTACATACATTTGATATCCTAACACTACATGCTACATACAGGGCTATATACAGCTATACTGGACTATACAAAGCTGTGCAGGCTCTACAGGGCTCTACAGGGCTAACACAGTTGTACACACCGTGAAACAGCGCAATTTAAGGGTTTTATAATTTCGTGAATTTCGTGTCCGTAATAACCTTCCAAATCGAGTTCTAGTATAGCAGTTTTGTATCTCAGTTACATTTGGCTTCTCTTGCCGTTTGCTACTAAACTTCCATTATCATTGGAGAACTCTTTTTATTCGTCAGCACCAAGAATAAAAATAAGGTCAAGTTAGGTGAATATATACTCGTTTGGCTCGAGACAAACCATATTTAGCAAAATACATTGCTCTCAAATCAGAGGATTAAAGTAACTTTATTACAGAATGGAGTTTCTCATCAAATTTTTAGTGTTTTTAAAAAGTGTTTTGATCAATGGTAGCTTTTTGGTACCACAAGAACCAAAGTTTCTACGCACTTGAAATTCACCCAAGGTAAATGATAGAACCATTAAATTGTGCTGTTTAGGTGTGTATAGCTGTTTTTAGTTTTCAATGAAGTACTTTGAATCCATAGAATGTCTTTTAACAGTCTGCTAGAAACAAAGCCACGAGTCACGACTTATTGAAAAACCCAAAAAAGAAGCGGTTATAAATGTCAAAGACAACAGCAAATTAAACTCCAGAATCCTATACAAGACCTTGAAGAGCATGTTTCCTAAAAACAAAGCGAAACAGATGAGTCGAATAAACTCTCTAACCAAAGACGGAACCAGCTATCCTACCCCAGCAGAAATATATCCAATGTATTCACCGCAATGAGCATTTGATCTCAGTGTCACGGTTGCTGATAACATCATTGAACACCATTAATACTGAACTCGATCTAAACAGTTTGGTGGGTTTCGTAAATCGTAAAAAAGCTGACAACTCCGCTGATTGCGATACACCATCTTGTTAGAGGATGCGTACGCATAAAAACGTGTTTAAAACAGGTTCTGACCGGTTTTGCTAATCAGATTATCCACAAACTTGGATAATTCCCAGGCGCATGCTCGAAGAAGATTTAACAGGCCGAGCGTAGAGGACTTTAGGTTTACATGGACCGTAGGGGAAGTTAACAAATAAACGCCTCTGCCAGCAGGGTAGACTGAGTATCGAAGTCGAAGACGATCAACTAGAAGTTCAACAATTTTTGTCTAACCAGTCAGAGGGTACACAGTTACTAAGACGTCAGGACACTAAAATTTTTCCCGCCCGCTGAATGCTGATTGGTTAATTCAAATTTCAAGCGCGCCAGATGTATGCAAAACTAGTCGCCACTTCTCTACTAGAAAAAAGGAGCACACGGAAAGCGAGAAAAACTCGGGGGGAGCATTTCAACACATCTCCTTCTTGTAAGAACAAATACTCCCTTTCTTGCTTTAGTATTCTGGATTCTGCTAACAGCTCGATTGATTTAAAACTCAAAGAAGCTTTTTATGTAAATAAGACCAAACCTGCTTAACAAACAATTACAGCATTATAACACTTTTCTAGCGTTTTAGTTCACGCCTTTGATGTTGTTACCTCGTTGTAATTGGTACCCGCTTTTGTATTACATCATACTGTAAATATTTTATTCATCTACTTGTATGCTGTATAATTACTCACGTTCAGTTACTCATTGATTGAAGATGGCATAAGCATGCCGAAACACGTCTCTCAAAAAAGTTGTCTATTTCTTACAATATTTATCATACTTGCTACTACTACGACCTTATGGAAATATCGGAATTATCATTAACGATTATTTTATTCTTTTAACCTCAGGACCACTTTATCTGTATACTGCTAGGAATGATTACCATGGTATTGTCCTTTAAGAGCATTATATTGAGGAATTTTAACGCAAGCAATAAAACGTATCTCGAGAGACAGTTCGCGCAATGTACACTCAATTTACTAAGGTTTGTAAATCTACGCCAACACCATTTCCACTCGGATTGTGGCTAAAAATTTTTGGAAGATTAAACTCGTACTCATTGTGGTATAAAACATGTTACAGAACAGTATGGTGTGATTGTCAAATGGAAATAGGAAAGACGATTCCGCTTCTACTGTTGAGACGACCGACAGTAGCCTGAAGTGTTGTTTACTTGGAGAATAACGCTGATCAAACTCGTGGTCAATCAAAACACGAACGGTTTTGTCAGTACGCCAACTATTCAAGTGTCTCAGTCGGGTTAAGCGTTAGCCGTAACACGGGATAAAAAAAAAAATAAGGCGTTTGGCGAAAAAAAATTGGCGAATTTAAAGCATCAGTTTCATTGACACCCTCTGCTGTTTCCAACTTGCACGCAATGTTGCTGATTTTTACAGCTGAGGTTGTCTCTCTTCTCCTCTAGAGCTCAGTCGAGATTTAAGCGGTGACTTCATCGTCAGAAAGCTTTTCTGGACTGCAGTAATACTCCTTTGACTCTTCAAGTGACTCAAAATCCAAATAAGGAGTGTCCTCTTGCATCATTTCCTCCAATAACCTCGTGGAGTTTTCAAAAGACGGTCTCTCACTGGGTTCCTCTTTCCAACAATCTAACATCAGCTGGTATCTGAGAAAGGAATTGCACAGATGAGCGGATAGGCCTTCATAATATTCAAGGGTTGATTCCTGTTTAACGGTAGACATTTTTGGTGTTTTGGCTTTCCCGCAGATTTTCTTTGGGGGACTTCTAATTTATGTCACTTTATGTTATCTTACATCTATGAAGTTAAATTCAAGAACACTTAAGACAAATATATAATACTTGAAAAAAACACAAGAACAGTTTACAGAGATAGGGTGTCAATTGTAAAAAGTTATTCGACGTTGAATTCAATTTAACAAATGATAAACACCACAGCGTACACTATTGAGTTAATGGATGCACGCGGGGAGGTTGCCAAGCACGAAAGAAGCGTAAGAGTCGCGCGAGGCGATAGCCGAGAGCGACTGTAGCTTCTTGGTGTACGCTGTGGTGTTTACCATTTGTTTTCTAACGTAACACAGTAGCAAAAGAGTTCCCTTTTATTTAACAAATCTTACGTGACCAGACAAAAACAAGCGCGCGCGGAAATATAGTCTATGCATTTGCTCACGTCAGCAGCGTACACCCATGGGCAAATGAAGGACGCTGAATTGACCAATAAGAGCTCGCGCTTTACTTTGGTTATGTTATAAATAAGACTGGCCGGGTCGCTGCCCCTTACAATGTATCAGAAGAGGTGTCTGGTTTTTCCATTCGATATCCAGTCTTGAGAAGATTGTACAACTCTTTATTATTGACCCCTGGGTAAGGGTTTCCTCCTATATGAAAAAAAAAGCTTTGTCATTCACAAATGTAATGTACTGTAGGCAAGTTGGAGAACTGTTCATCAGATCTTGGGAGTTAAAGTTCAAAATAGAAAAACCAAAACAGCAGTGAAATTAGCATTATGCATTCTGAATCACACTCTTTAGATGTGTCCTTACCCATTGTAGAAAGTTCCCAGAGGAGAATTCCAAAAGACCATCTGAAAGATTTAACGTCAATCAGAAAACCAATGGTAAATCAAAAATTGAAAAAAAAAGTGTTTAATCAAAAATAATGCTCTTCTATCACACCATGCTCCACTTATTGTCCACAGCGGTAGCAGGTCGATGATAACATGGTAACATGAGATCATGCAAATATGATATTCTGACAACATGATACAAGTAGTGATATACATATAGAGTAATTAAAAATTGAGGAATGCGTGACTGCTTTCTTTCGCTTTTTGATTATATTTTGGAATCAGATCAGAGCAGTTTCATGATAAAGTGTACCTTGGCACATGTGGCATCTTTATTGAGTTAGATTAGGGGCCATCTATTACCAGGAAGGTGGGGTTTTGGTGAGATGGAGGGTTTTTGGGGGTATTCCAAAGTTTTCAATGGGAACAGAGGGGGAAACAGTCGTCGCCAACAGAGCATAAAGGGGGGCCTACAGAAATTTGACCGCCAAATAGCTGCCAATCAGGGGGAGTCACAAAAATAGTACAGAGCCTTACGGGAGGGATCGGTAAATTTTACTGTGACACAACCAAAATCCTCTGACCGACCCCTCCCCCAGGCGATCAATTATGACCAGTCTCTTGGCAGTCTTCAAAAAACTTACACATCACTTTTGGTGGTATATTCACTTTTGTGAAGTGCTTCTGGAGCCATCCACTTTACTGGTATCTTTTTCCCTTTCTTCAGTGTGTAAACGTTTTCGTGGGTTTGCCTCATGAGTCCAAAATCAGAAATTTTCACCACTTTGTTTTCACCAAGAAGAATATTACGAGCTGCCAAATCACGATGAACAAATCCTTTACTTGATAAGAATGTCTATAGTTGCAAAAAAAAAACATAAATAAAGAAATACTCAGTTTTTTGATACATATTAAAGCTACGCGTTTATAAAAGTGAAGCAGACTGTTCATCTGGTCTGTCTTCGAATGTGCAACCATAGCATGAAGCGACGTGGGGATATTGCACCCCAATATAATAGGAATCGTTGTCCTTGGTATTTAAGCCATTCTTGTCCAGTAGCCCGGACATCTGTAGGATAACGGACTCTACCTGCTGTATAACTGCATTGAGCATTCTCAGTCTCCAGTCTCCCCCTCCCCCCCCACCCCACACCATAAAACATTAAGACTTACACCCTTTACGGGGTTGACGAAAAAAAGCCATCACAAAGTAAACTCAGCGAAAACACTTGACATACCATTCCACGCGCTACTTGCCACACAAAGCCAAGAAGATCTTTGGCTGTGAAGTCTTCTTCCCGTTCCACATCATTATGACWCTGAGTTTGAGAGGCTTGGATGGGATCCTTTTCGTAGTGATTCTGCAGCTTGTCTTTCTCGTCAGTCTGTGCTTTATCTATAGCGTGTACTTTTTCCTTTGAGGCACTTTCAGTGCTCAAGCCACCTTGAGAATCTGCGGTTGAAACCTCCTTGGCGGTACCTTTAGTGTTTAGATCCTTGTCACTTTCTTCTTCACTCCTTGATAACAAGGCTCTGGACTCATCTTCGTCGCTAGTCTGCACCACATTTGCAGCAACTAGCAAAGGCTTGCTGAAGTTATCATAATGCTTTTGATAGCTTTTCTGTGTAATACATTAGAGGGGAAGAAAAAAAAACTATGATCGCACTAGTGCTCTCAGTCCCAAGGCAGGTAGAAGCTGCAAATATTATTATTATTATTATTATTTTTTACTACATTCAAAAACAAAATTATGATTGCACTGGAGCTTTGGGGCTGTGTTCATTTAATATAATATGAGCCTATATGGATGATGTGAGGTTTGAATATCTTCTCTAACCCTTCGGAGAGATAAATGCTGAAAAGCTTGGTTACGATTCGATAACTTAGTGTATTTCATAGTCTCAGGAAGCCAGGATTAATCGCGTTTTAAGTAATTTACTGTTGCTATAATTGTGACTTGTTCCGTCATTCCTATTGGCAGTACTTAACAGTCAGCTTGAGACCATTACAGTGGCGGCATCTTTGATAAAATCGAGGCAAAAAAGGTAGTATCCATCCATGACAGCAAAAGTGGGAGAAAAATTGATTTAAACACTGAGAACTAGCGTCAGTACTCCAGTCCACTTACCTGTACTCTCTTGTTTCTGAGCCAGTGCAACAAATCCCCGTAAGGAACGTATTCCAATAGGAGAAAGATAGGATCTGAGTGTACACAGCATCCCAGCATTCTAACTATATTCGGATGTGTACCTATTAATTTCATAAGTTCAATTTCCTCCAAGAATTGGTTTCGCGCTTCGTCGCCTGTCTTGCCTGAGGAAAGAATTGAATGACTTCAAATGAGATTGGAAGATGGGTGATGTTCTCGGGGTCTAGACCAGGTATGTATGGCGAATAACAGCAATGAAAGATATATTTTAAGAGTTTTTAGAGAGTAATGTTTCTTAAGAACTTCAGAGTGCTTTTATTTTTTCACATATTAAAAATTATTGTTTAGGTAGCCCATTTGTAAAATTTGACGATTGGAAAATGCCCCTTTTCCGAAATATACGCGGCTTAATGGCTGTTTGGTGACTTACAAGTCGATTGATGTCAACTAACAAACTCAGTTCTATACACTCTATGAATATATCTTTGTTGATGCCCTGGACAACTTGCCTCCAAGGAGTTTAATTGCAACTGTTTCTTCCGGTTTAAAGTCGACCGTCTCACTTCTGGGCTCGATGAACACCTCAATTCCAGGTGATTCTCTGAAAGTGCCTTTTAACACTTTACCAAATGCCCCGCGACCAATCTCTTTCCCGAATACAACCTGCTCCGGTAGAACTTCCCAGTTATGGAGGGTAAAAATATTGGACTTCGATCTGAAGTGTGAGCAGGCATTAGTGGTATTAGAGTACATCCCCGCGCTTAATCGACATAAGCCTTGCTGGAAAATGATCATGCAAACAAACTCTTTGCTTCCTCTCGTTTGACAAGCTTACCTCATCAAAGTATTTTTTAAAAGCCCTTATTTTCTTCTAATTGATCAGACACAGAACGCGCCGTTTAACACGTTGTGTCGAAATCAGTGCGAATGTCTGGTGAACAAATACTTAGAACTCATCTAAGCTTCAAGTTCTAAATGCTATCCTTGATGTTTAATTTTAAAGTAACAGAAGTTAACACTGAGTTTTGCGGAAAGACGTTTTTAAAGGACAAAATGACTGATAAAAACAGGGTGTTACCTCCTGGGCTTTGGGGCTGAAGCATATTTTCTGCGTTTTCTTGCTGCACATCCAAAGTAGATTAATGTGATAAAAACTACGAACAGAAGGATACAGACACCCACTAATAAACCAGCAAGCTGTGGCGTTGAAAGGAGTTTACCACTTCCTGAGACTGAGGACTTTACTGTTGGTTTTTCAGTAGTCCAATGAACTGAACCTACAAACAAGACAAAAGTTATCATTAATTTCTTTGATCTCATTATTGATCGAAACTGCTGCTTCTCTTTTTTGTTGCTGGACTTTTAATTTCTTACGTTCTTTTAATTATGGTATATTCTGAGAATTACGTTTGTGATGTTTCATTAAGACAATATTACTCTTGCTAATAAGTTTCGCTATTTCTTTCAAACATATTACATACTTATGGAACTTGACCAACAAAGGATCCTCATTTGATAATAATGATAACACCCGCTCAGGTTTTCGAAACGTTACTTTGCAGGACCACTCTCACCCAGAAGGTCAGACTACATGAATAATTAATTTTTCTCGAACTCGTTGTGAAAAAGACTTCGTTCAGCCCCATGAATAAATACCTTTATCATTTAATGGCCGAATGTTGTCTTTGAACTGTTGTCTCTTTGCTGGTTCAAGTTTGTTATAAGACATACGAAATATGGGGAGAAAAAAAGACAAAAAAATCGTTCTTTAGTACCTAATGATATTGTTATTATCCATGGCCTCGACCTTTCACTCTGTCCCAGCTCATTCCACGCCGACATTTCGATTGCATATTGTTTGTCGTACTCTAACGATACAGTTTGGTTGGTCTTCGTAATATCGGTGACATTGACTTGGTACCAGGACTCCTCTAATCCTCGTAGTTTAATCTGGCGATAGTGTATTGAGTACATGGTAAGCGTACACCCTTTGGCTGTTTGATGACTCCAGGAGATGGTGACATTTTGACCCAATATTTCACTTTTTGTAGCGGTTATAATGGGAGGTGAAGGAATGCCTGCAATGAAAAATTAGTTGGTGTTGCCATGACCCTCTAAGAAAATAGAATAAGGTAGTCGTTTGAGATATAAAGGTGCTGTACAATTACCATTGATTTATGGATAATAATGGAAAAAATGTGTGCATTAAAAACTCTGTGGATTCAAAACCTCTCGAAATTAGGCAACTTTCTCTTTCTGCGGAAATACCATGTAATACAAGCCGTTCTCCTTAATCAAATCTTAGTTTCTCGTTTTCAGAAGTCCTTTTCTTTGCGGTGATTTCCTAGTACAGTTTTACAACTATGCCGACTATGCTTGACTACTTGAAGTTTCACTTTGTTGAGGCTATTACCAGTAGTTTGGAAATTCCAAATTTTGCTGAGATTGAATGGACTCTCCCCTGATTCGCTGATTGAGGTAACAGATACGTCATATTCTTTTCTGCAACTCAAATGAAGCGTGTAACTTGTGTGTCTTCCGTCCAACTCTATCGAGTACCAGCTGCTTTGTTGTCTTGCTGATGACATAACCTCTCTGTAATACACTTTGTACTTGACAACCGGACATGCTCCTTCAAAGGGAGGCTCCCACACCACTAGGACGTTCCCCCCTGACACACTCTTGAATTTATTGGCGATAAGCGGAACTCCTAGAAAATCATTTGGCGATTGATTAGTACGAATCCAAGATCAGTCAATTACAAAATTGTTAAATCTGTCATTTGCAACCAACGAGTTTCCTAACATCTAGAAATGCGCTAAAGTCATTGCACTTTTCAAAGCCGGGAACCGTACTAGCCCGTCTGATCGCCCTATTTCTATTTTACCAACTCTAAGTAAAATCCTAGAGAAGGCTGTGCATTATCAAGTTTATCAATACCTTAACCAACATAACCTATTCGAATGAAAAGCAATTCGGATTTCGGCCTAAACATTCATCAGTTAACGCTGTTTCTAGTTTTGCCGATGAAATTTTATTCAATATGAAAAGAGGTAGACTGTGTGGAGCCGTGTTCTTGGACCTATCCAGGGCCTTTGATACGGTCGACCACATAATCTTGCTACAAAAGTTGTCGTCTTCTGGGGGGACTTCTGACACGGCTAAATGGTTGGAGTCATATCTTAATGGACGAATGCAATGTACATCTTGCGGTCTGGAATTGTCTGATGTGTTACGTGTTACGCATGGCGTGCCCCGGGGCAGCATATTGGGCCCTTCGTTATTTCTTATTTATATAAATGCTTTGCCCACTGTCATCAAGCATGAGGAGGTAGCCCTATATGCTGATGACGCAGTGCTTTATTGCTATGACTCAAACCCATGGCCAGCTGGTCTGGAGTGCGCCCTAAATGCCGACTGCTCTACTGTATGGATGCATTGTGGCAAAACAGCAGCTTGCAAACTCGAAAAACTAAATGAGCGGGCTATGAGATGTATTTTTAATGACAACATTAGCACCTATGACGAATTACTTGTAAAGGCAAATATGCCAAGCCTGCAAAATAGAAGGATTCAGGACATTTGTATACTTATATATAAAATTATCTATGCAACTACACCAACACCTCTTAGTAGTCTCCTGTCGCTAAGAAGTAATGAATGTAATCTGCGTGGTAAAATGAAGCTTATTCTACCCAGAGCAAACACGTCCAAGTATGGACTCCATACTCTTAGGTACTACGGTCCGAAGATGTGGAACTCCTTGCAGGATGAACTAAGAACTGCTCCTACCATTAGAAATGTTGTTTCTCAAATTAGAAAATTAACGTTCGACACTTGTAGTTGTTTTTTATGCTGTACATAGAATTTTCAATCTTCTTGCTTTCATATTAATATGTTCTTAATAATTAATTAGTTGCATATCATATAAGTAATCTTACTTTCTGTTCTCAATATCCTGATCCATAATATATTTAGCCAATTTGTTGGCTCAATACCTTTATTTTATAGTTAATTTATATATATTATTTGTTAACTCGACACACTAGCTGTACATGCTAGGAGCCTAACAAGCTCCAATTGATCGAGTATAAATAAAGTTTTTGTTGATTTGCATGCTATTGCTAGCTGGTTAAATGATAACAAACTTACTTTTAATATTGATAAGACCAAAGCAATGCTTATTGGTAGTGATTCCAAGCTTCGCAAGTTAAACAGTTTCTCGGTTTTTGTTCTTGATAATCAACTCGATAGTGTTAGAAGCCTTAAGTATTTAGGGTTTGCATTATCCTTCAACTTTACGTGGACCGAACATGTGGAACATATCTAAGGTGAACCAGAGATTAGGTCTTTTGCGTGGCATCAAGCATTTGTTGCCGTATAACGCACGCCTTCTTCATTACAAAAGCCTTGTCCTTCCCATCCTTGATTATGCTGATATGGTATGGGGTGATATGGATAACGCTGTCTTAATGAACAATCTGCAGGTGTTGCAAAATAAGGCGGCAAAACTTGTTCTAGATAAACCATTGCACTCTTCTGCAACCGATGCTCTCAATCAACTTGGCTGGTTAGTTTTAAAGCAACGCGGGCACTTCCATCGCTGCTTGTATGTTTATAAATGCGTGAATGGAATTACATCTCACAAATTGGAATTGTCTTGAAACAGCGATGTACATAGATACAACGGTACAACAGTCGTTGCAAAGATCATCCTAGACTTCCATCAGTAAAACGGAACTGGGGTAAAAAAAAGAACCTGTTCTCATGCCTTTGAAGACTGGAATGCATTGGACAGTGACTTGGAGAACTCTGGCACTATATGTCAGTTTAGAAACAATTTTTTTAAATCTTTTAATCTATAGCTTACATTTGTACTTTTTTTAACACCTGAAACTTTTACTTACTTTTGACAATTTAATGTTATTTGGATCAGGACCTCTCTGTAGATCACCTACGGGTGAGAGAGCTTCCTGTTTAAATATCATAATTATTATTATTTGCAACAAGCTCAAGGGATGCAGATGCGGGCGAGGGGGGGTGAGAGATGAGTGGAGGAGGAGGGCAATGCAGACGGTGTAATTCATCACTACTCTCTTTTACCATCCTGATATGACAATTTATCGGTTCTATTTTTCTTAATCAATGGAACTTGCCTCTTAGTTTATTGACTTGTTCCAGTGACAGTGCCGAGCCAAACACATAAAGGTCCATCACTGATCCATAGAATTGGTGATCATTCCGGTGTTCGTCATTACCGATCTGGTACCAATCCGCTGTTGACTTGTAGAAACTATCACCTGAGGTAAATGAGTTCACCGCCACTTCTAACCCATCAGCTAATATCGACACAGCGGTACTTTCATGATTCCATATAACAACCACGTGGGTCCAAGCGTCGAAAGAAATATTAACACTATCTGCAGACCACCATTCGTTTTCTCCCTTTTTGTGACGATGGAAGATAATCTGTCGGTCTGTTATACTTAGCAAAAAATTCCATGGAAAACGCCAATCACCATAAATTGCAGAAATCTCATTGGGTACGCTTTTCGTTTGTTTAATCCAACAGGCAATAGTAAAACTCCGGCCTCCAAGATTTATGGCAGGTACTATCGCATAGGATCTTGTTTGATTGAAAGTGACAGCTTTACTACTGAGACATCGACCCTCGGTGAAAGATGGATCACCATATAACCTGGAATTGAAGCAAAAAGGGTGGCATTTATGTGATCCATATGAGGTCGAAGAACGATCTCAATTTATGAAAAGACCTTCCTAACTCGAAGTTCACAATGTGAAGAATGAAAATAACATTTTACATCGTTCTGTCTGGTATGTTATTGTTACTTCCTAGTAAAACCAAGATTACAAAATATTTAAATACCTTGCATCCCAATCTTCACCGTTTAGCAGCCAGTGACCTAGGACTACCTCATCTGCAAAAAGGGAAAAAATTGATGGTTAGGCAAATGTCAGTGAAACCTATAGGCGGATTCATGCTGACGTCATTGTTTACATTTTTGCTCATTTGCATACGGCTTTGCGTAAAGAAGGAAGCATGTTAGATACAAATTGACTTCAGGCAGCTAAAGAGCTA